TGAGTACTTCTTTCCCGGATATATATCACATATATATACTCTGTTATAATGGCTTTTGTTGTGCTATAGTTCCGAAAAATGAGTCAATAATACCGTCTCCGAGAAAGAACTGCAAGTCCTTTTATCTTCCATTCGACTTCGCGGTTTCGTATACTGAACAACTACTGAATTCGCAATTTTTTAAAATCAAATCAAAGAATTGAACTGACAGAAGTGACATCAGATATTTGATTACTTCAAAAGAATGATAAAGATGCCTATAAAACGCAGGTGTCCCTACTGTTAAAAACTTGAAATTTCACGTCGATAATTTTCAGATTTCGAAATAATGTAATATCTTCTCAATATTGTTTCGTCCTTCCTTCTGTCACAGAAAAAAATAGTGTATTATACACGGGAAAAATATTAGATTTCAGCTCACGGTTTTTTGTCTCCCTCCGCTACGCGTCGGGAGACAACACAACCTGGAGCTAAAATCTACTACTTTTTTCCCTTGTATAATAAATAACTATTATTGTCTTAAGTTATCACTTGTTGACAAAGCTTGTTATACACATAAAATACATAAAAAATAAATAAATGAACAACACTAGTTTTAAAATAACACACTTGTTGACAACACTTGAAATGTATATAAATAAATAAAAATAAATTAATCCAACAGACAAAATAGATAATGTAAATATATATATACACAGCAATTTGAGAGACTCTAGTTAAAGCTTCGCAGAAAATATTCAGTCAAGTTGTACAATGATGTTTGTAGAAGTAATGCTTTCACCTTAGTACGGAATTTTTTGTAACATGCGATTCCTTTTATGTCATTTGGCAGATGATTGTATATTTTTATTCCAGAGTAAATAATAGAATCCTTAATCATAGTGGTGCGGGGGATTATCAATTTTATTTGACCGCTCTGTCTTGTATTATATCGTGAGGAGACAAGTGGGAAAGACCGTATATTCTTGTAAATCAGAGAAGCTGTTTCCAAGATATATAAAGAAATCACAGTTAGTATGCCACAATCCCTAAACAACTCTCTACAAGAATCTGTTGATTTCGCATGGCACATATATCTGAGAGCTCTCTTTTGTAACATGAAACTCCTTTGAAATAATTGGTTACTACAGCTTCCCCAGAACGCTATTCCATATCTCAGGTGGGACTCAAGTAGGGCGAAGTATGTTGTTCTGGCAGATGCATACCCTAATTCAGAGGCACTATAAGTACAATGCTTCCATCATGTACTTGCAATAGTTGTTAAATCATGATTGCATTATTTCTCACATTTGCAATGATGGAATGATATTTTCGTGATGCTCTTTAGTAAGTTGGATGTGATCTGCTCATTTATGAATGTGTTCAATACACTCTGTATGGCTTATCGTGGTGGCAAAATTCAGTCTGTTATGTGACTGGCATAATGCAGCAATCCAAAATAATATCTATCATGGTTAAAGAGTAATCTGAACAGATGTCTTGAATGGACTATGCGACAGCTACTTCAAGTTTCGGAGTTTAATTTGGTTATTCCGTTTTTCTCGAGAACCGTGTACTTCAACGAGTTTCAATAGTTGGTGCTTTTTTCTACCACATTGCATCCTCTTTCATATTTTTGAATGAAATTTCGAAATGTTTCAGAACAAATCACACATTATAACCTCTTAACGGTGCCACTGGAAGTCAGATCGACTAAATATTGCTACCGATTCGATATCACTCTCCAGTACTTAGTAATTCACCAAAATATCAAGAATTTTCGTTTAGCGGTTAGCAATTCAATGAAAATTAGTTTCCATTTTCAACTTCAACACCGTGTATCTCGTCAACGAAGCCTTCTACGACCCATGTTTATGAGCACTTCTTTCACTTTTTGAAGTATGTCCCACATATTACGAAAAACCCTGTATTTGACGTTAAAACATAACTTGACAAGCCAATCAAGAGTCAAGTTTGGTATTATAGATAATACGTACTTGACTTGAGCTCCTGATTAGTTCATTTGATAACTGAGTGAAATGGTCAGGAGAAGTTGAGGGAAACCAGGAAAAATCTTTTGCTGAAGAGGCAAGTATTAACGTTTCTGAATAGCTTGTCCAGAAGCATAGTTTATTCAAGCTGAATCCTATAATAACAACCGAAAAAATTGAATTTGACCGACCATGTTATTGCTTCTTCAACTCAAGAAGATATTTTATCAGTTCTGGATATTCTGCAACCTCCTCCTACTCAAAATAAGCATGCATTCGTGGAATCAACGTCAATCATCGACATTCAATTGGTGAACATGAAAAATGTGGAGAACTTCTTTCTAATACCGAGCAGGGAGATCGTATACCATCAGATTTTTCATGAGATGAATATAATGGTTGGTATTTCTACATCTGTTGGTATCAATCTTTTCCCAACAAAAAAATGAAACAGTTTAGATTCCATCGTATGGTACGTTTCCAATGACCCACCACGACCGACGGCTCTATGGTCCCAAAAAAGTTGGGGTGGGCATTGGGTGCAAGGTTGGTGCAACGAGCTAAATAATTAACAGCTATTTAGATACCAAGGAGGAAAAGGTGTCCATTCTCTCCCGCATGTGAAGTTTGATGCCCGAATAATAAGCCCATGATATACCGGGTGACACAGGGTATCGGGCCACCCCTGTAACTTCTGCATTCGTCAATGAATTTTTCTGAAATTCTGTACAGTTATATAAGCAATTATTTCGGATTTGATCATATTACAATCCAATATGGCGGACTTTCGGTATTTCTGAAAATGCCAGCAACTTTGTTTTTTCAAACGAAACACCCTGTATATTTTTACATATTCAAATTCAACAGGTCGAAACAAGTGCAATCTTTATTTCAAATGTCATTTTTTCGAAAAAATTTAAATTACAATTGTTTTTTCATTTTACCTCGTGGATAAATGAGATGTGGTCAAGACTATTCACAATGAGTCACACATAACAGAAGAACATAATTTTTTCTGAAAAATTATTTTTTGTGTCACTTATCCAGGAATCAATTCAGCCACATCACTTTTTGATCAAAATTTTTTTTTTTTCAAATGGAACCCCTATGGGCCACCTACCCGACTCTCTAGAAGTCTAGAACATACCTTAAGGAACAAAATGACATATCATTTTTGTTTTTCGGTGCAGTAACAAATTGTATACATTCAAAAATCAACAACTAGTTTATGAATTTCCTTGCAGTTAGAATAATTTTTCAACTAGGTAGGCTGTGGAATAAATGACATTTGACATCAAGATTGCACTTGTTTTGACCTGTTGAACTTGAATATGTAAAAATATACAGGGTGTTCCGTTTGAAAAAACAAAATTGCTGGCATTTCCAGAAAAACCGGAAGTCCGCCATATTGGATTGTAATGTGATCAAATCCGAAATTGTTGCTTATATAACTGTACAGAATTTCAGAAAAATCCGTTGACGAATGCAGAAGCTACAGGGGTGGCCCGATAACCTGTGTCACCCGGTATATATGATTTTATCAACGTAAGCAATTTTTTAAAGCATCATTCTTGAAATTGTACTTCAGCCGGTCTATCTTTCGATGCAAATTACTATGCATCACAAAGATATAGTATGCCTTGGACAATTGACGGCATTTGAACGAAGTCAATTTGACACTGTCATCATGAATTGATTGATTTGTATATTATTGTGTGCATTTGAAAGTTTTGATTATAAGTACGTTCGGAATATGAAGAAGCGTATGATATCATTGCAATTCAGAAAAGATATTATTGTTATTTGTTTTATGATAGTGATAAACACACTGATAACATATTGGACAGATTTTATAGATATATCGACGCCAAAGGATACATGCTGAAGCCAATTTAGTTTACCTCCCACGGAAGTTAAAATTTTTTAAACCCGTTGGAGTAAATTGATCTTTGTTTCCTAAAATGAGGGAGCAAACGCCTACTTTCGATTCAGTGAGTTGATAAATATATTATCCACCTAACAGTCACTGTTCACGTGTCTCGGCGATTTTCTGATTTTTAAGGACGATATTTTCAAACGTTTCCTTCGATATCTCGCAAGTTCATCGTTTGATTTCAAAAATGTAAACACAGGCGTTAAGGAAATTGAAAAGTCTATCCAATGAGGTGCCCCACAACCTACACTGCCATTAGGAATTTTTGATGAGGTGGCAATGGAGGCAAAAGGGGATGAAACGAGCAAGGTGATTTTTATGTGAGAACATGCCCCCCTCACATTTATTTATTACCTGTTTCGGCCATTTTTCGATATTCGTCTATTAAACGAGATATCGCAGGTAAGAACTTTTCAAATGATTACCAGCACCCGGTATATGATAAAGACTTTATGAATAACACTATGTGCCTATGTACAAATTAAAAACAAAACTTCTTAGGACAAACAAATAAATCAAAACAGTCATATATACCTATATCTATTACCTATCCTACAAATTATTATTCTTGGGCGGGCCCATTCCCCTTCCCCCATATCAACGCTCTTGATTTTATTAAAGTTCAACTTGTGTTGATAAAATGATGATAATTTTGTATAAAGAAGTTCAAGTGGAAACGGGAGGTGTTGTAGATAACACAAAATAAATACGTCACTGTTGAAATATGTTTTTATCTGTTGAATTAATTATTGAAATAAAGTATTTACTACCGACCATGATGGGACAACCTATTCAATATCAACTCACCTTGATTTTATCTATTTGCCATAAGTATATGGCAAATAAGTCACGAATCGTTGGCGTTTTATAAGAAGTAGAAATATAGTTTCGGCTTAGGCAAGATTGTATGTTTAACGGACGAGCGGAGCAACACTTGAAAGCTAATTCGAAAAAATGCAGTGAAAATGTCATGGATTCTTATTGATGGTTATGAAAAAAGTGCATTCATTGTTTTAAAGCATTCAATATTCTAATATCTAAGAGATCCACAGAAACCTGAATTCTGGATTCATTTCAATATATAAAATGTTTCTTACTTCTATTACTTCTTGATTCTGACAATATTTTTCTCCAATACTTCTGAACAGGGGCATAACATTCTGCATAACAACGAGAATGGGTTGATCGACTTTTTCTTGGTCTTCTACATGCAGAGAACTAAATAGAGCAGCTAAAATTTTCAGTTTCGTCTCCAGTGAACTTGTCGTACTAGAAGACTATAATAAACAAGTTTCAGTTATATTGAAATTAGAAGAAAAAAATTAATGATAACAGAACTTACTGTTTCAGCGCTAACAATTTTTTGCAAATCATCGAACGTCGGTGCTAATATCATATTTAAATATCCCATGATTCTTTCTACTGGTAACGTACTCAACACTCGACCTATACTATACATCAGTCTTCGACATTCGGCTAATTTCAATATTCCATTCTGAAGTACACTCTGTAATAAATACATACAGTGAGGACAAAAAGTCTGACGCCCCCCTCGTAACTCATTTATTTTAGATAGTACAAACAATATCAAATGCATAAGTTTTAGGATTTTAATAAATTCTTCAATGGATTAGGTTTCATTTATTCAAAGGGTCTCATATAATTTTTGAATGGGAAGTAAATCATTGCACTATTTGATTCTATTTCAGATTTTGAACAATTTTGATTATTTTATACGAGGTTTCATATCACGAAAGATAATAGTTGGATCATGGAATCATGAACACTTGTAAATTATTATTTCGACTTCTTTCTTTCAGATCAGTAAGAAAACCGTCACAAATGATATACAATGTATTTCACTTTCCTTTCCTAACTATTGGAATGATTTAAATTTTTTTGGAATCAGTGGAATAAAGAAATTATGCTGGGGGGAACGGACTTTTGGTCCTCACTATAAAATTCATACCATCAAAAAAATAAAGTTGTATCATTGAATGACAATAACAAGAAATACATAATGAAATACAGAGATCAAAATATGAATTGAGGCAATATTGATTTTTTCGGTAGGTACTGTAGAAATTCTAACATCACTATTGTCACAATCACGCGGATATCAATAGTCTTGAATTTACGCATTCGATATGTTTTTCATTTTGTTCAATTTTCGAAATAAAATTTCTTGTGAATTGCAAGACAGAGAGAAATCTAATGGGTGACCCATTTGGAAGCAGGCAACCCTCATAATTTTTTTATAATTGTAGCGATTTTGACCTTTTTTTTTTTCAAATGTAAAGAAGAAAAAGGTGTATGTTTGGGTGCCGTACTCCATATGTGGGAACAGTATTCTAGAACAGGCTTTATCTGTACTTCGTGGATCATGAAAGTAACCTTTCGCACGGAACAAAAATTCGAATTTTTGTGAAGCAGCCTTCGCAATGGATCTGACATGATCATTTCATAAAAGAGTATACCGAGCATGGACATAGTGGACTTGATGGAAACGGCGGTACCAGTCATTTTATAAGCAGGCAAACTGGGTTCCGCCTTTCTAGAGAAAAAACGGGCTTTTCCATGTAAATCTCCATAAGAAAATCTAAGGTAGATTCTGCAGATACTTGACCACTTGAGGGTCCTCTGTCTCATACGAGCGGGCTAACCGCAAGATGATAACGGTGATTACACATCAACAATAAGAAAATGAAAAAAAATATACAGTGTGCCCAAGATAAGAATGAACAGCATGGGGGTCTCGGTAACTGTGAGAGTAACACAGTAGGTCGAATGGGCAAAAAGTTGTGCAATTAAGGGATCAATGAATAGGTCGAAAAATCACAACAAAACAAAAACGAATTTGGCGATTTGGCTCCGATTTTTTCAGAAATTATTCGAAACGTTTCGGAAACACCATAGATCATTGTCAGTTTTTCTCTACAAAATGGCGTTCACAAAATCTCCGTACAACGGTTCGTTTCTAAGAAACGGTTAGTCAGATCCACATAATGTTCATCCCTATCTTGGGCACACTGTATATAGGGCGTTTGAGAGTAGGAATTGAAAAACATTTACAGGGCGACTAGCAGGTAGATCCCCTCACTTTTTGTCTAGATCAGCGGACCAATCAGAAAATCATTGACAGCCAACTTATGACATTTGACAGACGACAAATGCGGTTGATGATACCGGTGCTTCAGACCTCGACGAAAGCAAGCGCACTTTGTTTCAAAAATTGAAAAAACAGGGCGAATCGGAGGATGAACCACCTCACTGTTTGTCTACCTCAGCTAACCAATCAGAGGCGACTATCACACTTAATGACGTGTGACACTTGTCCGGTGCTAGTTGGAACCACGTGACTAGCGACGTTTGATAGATGATGTATGATATCCAATAATACTCCCGGTGCATCTAGCGTCACCGGAAGCAAGCGCCCATGTTCGGCGCCATTATACTTCCAGTACTTCTAACCACACCAAACGCTCAGGTTCTGCGATCGACTTTATATTTTATTGCAATCCACGAAATAAAATTATAACGAAATATCTCGATCATAGATGGACTATTATTTATGATAACAAAAACCGCACAAGGCGCGAGCAACGTTCCCGTCCAATCAATATTTTTTTCATGAAATAGAAATGGAACGATCCACTGCGTATTTTCAACTAATTAAATTGGAAGCCAAAGAGTTGTGCCTCATTTTTACTAATTTTTCCTCATTTTAAACAATTCACAAACTTAGACAGCATGAAGAAACGTATCCTTAAGAAGCACAAAGATGAGGTACATCGACAATTGATTAATATACAAGACTATCCGAACATCAGTGAGATATCGCATGTAGCAGATATTAATCGTGAAAATGAAAACGTTGATAGAGATCGATGAATCATGGAATTAGCTGAAATCGTGAAATATAAATCCATAGCATTTATGCAAGACATGGAAGGAACTGGGGATGGAGAAATTTTGGAAGGATCAGAATGATTGAAGGCGACCAAACCGAAGTTGAGCTAGAGTTTTCCTCTACAAAGACAAAGTACTCTGTATTCGCTAGAAAAAAAAGTGGTGTTCCTTTCAATGTCCTGATAATTGATAATGATCTGTTGGACCTAAATAAATTGGTGAGTAGATCGAGACAAATCTTGATCTGAGGACCATATTTTACCAATAGAATTCCCTCAAATCTAAATATACTAGGAGTAGGAGTAATTGGAAGTTCCATAGAAAAAGATGAAATAAATTAGCTCGTACCTAGAGGTTTTATAGAGACGGCGACTTGCATTCAAGTTGATCATTAAAGAATACTCTTCTTTGTAATTATTCCGCATTTCCTTCTCCTCTATGCAACACCACTTCAATTCCAAATATCACCTCACATTTAAAATATCGTGTAGCATTTTGTTGTTTTTTGAAACATTGTTCATTCGATCTCTCTGTGATTCAAAATTGCTAGCTTTTTCAATAGAGAAAAACACATTCACGGCGGTGTAATGATATATGTTAATAAAAATGTAATTTATAGAGACTTGAAAATTCCAAAATTCAGAAATGACGAGATGCATATAGAACATTGCGGAATTGTTTTTTCTATTGAAAATGAAAATTATTGCTTAATTAATATTTATAGGCCTCCAGGTGGGCAAATAGATTTATTCATCAACAGATTCTCTGAAATTTTAGGCCAATATACTAGACGATATAAAAATGTTATTATAAGTGGAGATATGAATATCGACAATCTGAACTTGAAAGATTGTCCTCAGAAAGAGAAGGATAAACAATTGTTCATTGATTTACTTGAAAGTTACAGACTATATTTCAAAAATGAAAAGCCTACAAGAGTTTTCACTGATAGAAACGGGGTGACCTCAATTTCTCAGATCGATTATTTTGCAACCAATATAGAAACCTTGTTATTTCGTGAAGAAGTCGAAGAAATGGATTTGAGTGATCATTATGGTTCAATGTTCATACTAGAAATTGAGGAGCATCATAAAAAGCATCATAAAAATCATTCTCGAAATAAAACTACTACTAGGCGTGATACATGTAACGAGAACCTCATGCATTTAACAGAATTATTGAGAAAAGAAGACTATCAAACAGTTTATCAAAATAACCTGGATGTCAACAATGCCTACGAATTTTTTTTCAATATTCTTATGTACTATTTAGATGTCTCATGCCCTTGTATAAGTATCCGAATTGAAATGGAAACTAACAAAAATGAGTGGATCACAAATGAAATCAAAGTTGAGGGTAGGAAATTGAAGGAACTGTATTTGTTAACTAAAAATATCTGCAATGATGAATCATTAGAATTTTATCGTGAAAAGAGATCTCAGCATAGGCGTAATATCATAAACGCAAAAAGAATATTTTATCAGAACAAGATAACGGAAACCGATACCATACAGAATAAACAGAAACAAGTTTGGAGGACTGTCCACGAATTGACAGGAAAAAGAATGCAAAATGATCATCCGCGAGAGTTGTATATTGATAATAAATTAGTGAACGATAATTGTCTTATAGCCAACAAATTTGCTGATTATTATTCAACAATAGTTTCAAGCTGTATTCAACAACACTTTCATGATAACGTTTCAGTTGGTACAACTGATAACAGCAAGTTGCCGTGTACCTTTTATTTTTACCCTGTTACCCCAATTGAAGTTTTCAGTGTCATCAATGAGCTCAAAAATAAAAATTCTACCGGTATGGATTGCCTTACCACAAAAATCATGAAATCCATCTCGTACTTTATCTGTGAACCACTCGCATTTATTATCAATTTATCCGTAGAAACAGAAACGTTTCCAGATATGCTGAAAGTAGGGAAAGTTGTTCCACTATATAAGAAAAGTGATCCGCTCATCATTGATAATTACAGGCCAATTACAATTCCTAGTGTTATTAGCAAAATTGTGGAAAAATGAATCTATAATAAACTCTATCCATTCTTAGAGAAGTATAATGTTATCAGCAAGTATCAAAACGGTTTCTGCCCAGGTAGATCGACAGAAAGCGCTGCTTCAGTATTCCTGGAGAATATCTATAGCGGTATTGATAAAGGAAAGTATGTTGCTGCGCTGTTTTTCGATTTAACCAAAGCTTTCGACTCCATTGACTTCGACATACTTGCTGATAAACTGTATACCATAGGTATTCGTGGAAAATTCCACGCTTGGATTATATCCTACATGAAATATACGAAAATATTTGTTAAATGGCAGGATTCTAACTCAGAACTATTTGATATAGATATCGGTGTACCACAAGGATCAGTGTTAGGACCTTTATTATTTTTACTATATATTAATGATCTCCCACAATATATAGGAGGTACATCAATCACATTATTTGCTGATGATACCTCAATCTCGGCTGAAGCCGACAGCCATGTGCAACTTCAGTCCAAACTAAACATAATAGGTGAAAGATTTACTGCTTGGTGTCAGAGTAATAGACTGATAGTTAATGCTGAGAAAACTGTGCTAA